CGTTTGGTTCTACATATGTACTTTAATTTGCCTACTTAGCCCAGGACCGAAAGAATTCAACAAACAATTACAACAACAACAACAACAACAACCAAAAGTATGATCCTACACGTACCGGTGAAAAGAGAGATGAAACCATTGCCTCGTGTTTTTGTATTGCTAGTGTAATGTTAAGTGGTGCGCAAAAACTGCATTTTTTTTTCCTTTGGTTTGTTTTTTCCGTCGATCTTGTTTTCCGTGCTGAGCTCTAATGCTACCGACGTGCCAGGAAGGCAGCTCTTACACCTGGACCCTACCTATCGACCCATCAACTCATGAACCGGGGACCAACGGCTTTACTTCCATCCGAAGGAAGGCGTGATCAGAGATGTTATGCCTCAGAACATCCCGGCGGCGCCGACTGGGATTGAACCCAGGCCTGCTGGGGTGAGAGGTAATCACGCTTACCACTACACCACCGGCGCCGTTAAAAAAAAACTGCATTTGAATAGCGTCATTCCCGCTGGTTCGAAGATTATGATCGTTTGTTGAGAGATTTGGCACTTTCCCACTTGTTGCTGCTCACCATCGTCGGTGTTCAAGTGATCCTATCAACCATTGACCGCTTCCTCGAAACTGCGCTCATCGTCGTCGTGGTCTATTGGAGGCGATGTGCTGGGAGCTGGGATTGTGTTGGGTTATCTTGAGATTGATTTTATTTGTGATGGAGCTTTTCCACTTGCTTGGGGGAGGCAGCGTGTGATAGGATAATTTTGACATTTTATAGGCAGAGTATTAACTGTGCATTAGTTGAATGTTCACTCACGGCGGCGCTATTCATATCTCCTGTGGATCGTGAGAGTCGTGCATTTCTTTGCTTTATGTCATCTTTGATAAAATTCGACTAATGCTTTTGTTTTATTTTGGAATACATTGGAAACGATCCATTTTAAAGGGGGAAAGCACGCGGTATTCATTGAGTCGCTTATAAATACGATTTTGCTATTTGCACAACCTGGAACTGGAACCTGGAACTGGAATAATCTTGGTTCTTGATCTTTTTCATTGAACTAAGTATCAAGTCAATCAATCATTTTTTTAAATATGATAAAATGTATCCAGAAGAAATTGATAATTTTCCGTGAAATTACCAGTGATGAAAAATGCCTATATTTAGGTGCAACCACATGAAAACATATTTAAATGTCCAAAAACTAAACAAAACACTCAGTAATCATGTGAAACGATAGCATCGTCATAACCTATTTATTTAAAAACCATAAGTTGCCAATTTTCTTAAAAGTAAGAATTTAATTTCCTTATTTACGTTTTGACGTAGGACTACGTCTTTAATATCTATACTAGAGGACACATAAAAAAAAAAAAAAAATCAGACATGTAACGAAAAATCCCAAACACGGACGTAACGATAGAGCGCAAATCGAACAAACGGCACATTGCGCATGCTCACATGAGCGAACTCAATGCTCGGTTGAGTTGAGCGCTCACCATTCCACCAATGAAAGGAAGGGAGGAGAAAAGCAGCTATAATAAAATCCCTCGCCAAATCGTTTTCTTCGTCGTTTGCTTTTGAGCAACAGACGGATAAGTGTCGGGCACGACGTATGAGTGGAAAAGCACGCATCGCACCAATGCGAAGACAACAGACGACGACGAAAGCACCCACATCGACCAGAGGAAAGGCTTCCCGCAATAGGAAGCATGACTAGACCACCGTCCCCAAGTAACATTGCTAGTTTTATAAAAGTTTTATAGCATTATACAAGTCTGAATCGTGGTCTACAGAACCCTCATAAAACCAAAATTATTACTTGGGTCATCCGGGCGGCATCGACTTGCACGCACTGGTGTGGCCACTATTTGAAAAACATCCAGCCCTTTTCAGGGCCACAAATTCAAAAACGAAAAGAGTTAAAAACTAAATGATCAACATATTGGTTCCGTCCACTAGTGGTCCTACGTCAAGCTTCCGTTCGTGCCGCTAGGCACAGGCCCATCTACTTTCATGTGCTGCTTAAATGCAGAATCTTGATGCTTCAATATCAATATTCTTAAGAACATTACTGTCAATGTTCAGCAAACAAAAAGAACTAACCAATTTATCAGTTATACCATTGCCAGGCATACCGTTGTACACACTTAGTTTTTTCTACCGAGCTCGGCAAAAAAGTTTTACTGAGATCTCAGCAAACATTTCAATTGTTTGCTGAGATTCAGCTAAGCATTTTCCGAGACTCAACAATCAAATGTCACTTTTGCTGAAACTTATTTTTGCCGAGATTTGCACAGCCGAGCTCGGTAAAAAATACTAAGTATGTGGAAACTAACGATTTTAAATTGGCTCACTACTTTACTAGCCTATTGGTCCCAAGCAAATTGATTAACGTAAAACCATAGAGGTAACTCTAAGACCATAAGGTCATGAAGAAACGTGCTCAGCTTTTTGGCTCAGCGCTGGTACTATCTATGGTCCCAAGATAATCGATGCACCCCTCGAAACATTGGAAAATCCACGAACCCCTCATTTTATCTGTCAATTTTTCATAGCGAATCAAAACAAACATAGTATAGTACCAGAATTTCGACTAGAACGGGGTACGCTTATAGATGTACTTGGAACCAATAGGATAGTCAAGTAGTGAGCCAATTTAAAATCGTTAGTTTCCACCGGTTGGTTGTACCATAGAGGTAACTCTAAGACAAGTAGGTCCCGAAGAAACGTGCTCAACTTTTTGGCTCAGCTCTGGTACTATCATAGAGGTAACTCTAAGACTAGACGGTCTCGAAATAACGTGCTCAACTTTTTGGCTCAGCTCTGGTACTATCTTCGGTCCCAAGCTAATCGATTCACCCCTCGAAACATAGGAAAATCCACTAACCCCTCATTTTATCTGTCAAACTTTCATAGCAAATCAAAACAAACATTGCGTAGTACTAGAATTTCGACTAGATTGGGGTACGCTAATCGTTTGCTTGGGACCAATAGGCTAGTCAAGTAGTGAGCCAATTTAAAATCGTTAGTTTCGTATTGATTGTTGGTACTATCTTTGGTCCCAAGCTAGTCGAATCACCCCTCGAAACATAGGAAAATCCAATAACCCCTCATTTTATCTGTCAAACTTTCATAGCGAATCAAAACAAACATTGTGTAGTACTAGAATTTTGACTAGAATGGGATACGTTAATCGATTTGCTTGGGACCAAGGCTAGTCAAGTAGTGAGCCAATTTAAAATCGTTAGTTTCGTATTGATTGTTGGTTGTACTCCTTTAATCTAGTACCTCAAAAGGTACAATATGAGGAAGAAACTTAAAAGAGTACAACGAGCACTCAGTCAGTAGCTCAGTCAGCACGTTTATTCTTCCGTGATGGTACCCAGTCCTTGTTTTGAATGACTGAGCGTACATTTTCTATGGAAAAATGACTCGATTACATGCTGTGTGAGCGAAGGCAAGCGGTGTGAGTCCAATGTCATTTATACAAGGTCTGGGCCAAAGGGCTTATTGGTATAAGTGACATGTGGAAATGTTTAGTGATGTTCGTATTTCATCGCGATGTTTATCTTTTTACACGGAATCTGTTGGCAGTGACGTGTTTCTATCTGTTCGCAGTATGTTGACAGTGACGTGTTTCTATCTGTACGCTGTATGTTCAGCAATGTTAACAATATTTTTGTTTCTAACACCAGCAAGCTGCCTGTTGGCTCAGACCTTATATAAAGGTCATTGGTGTGAGTCGCCTGTTCGTGAGTGACTGAATGTTTTTATTGGCGCTTTTATTGCCTCGTCCTTAACCGTTTGGTACAAACGGTCTGGACAGAGCAATGAATTGAATAGTGCAGTGCTTTCACACTCAACCTAAGCAGTCAATAATTTTACGCTCTGTTTGTATGTCTGTACAAGGTCTTATACCGGTGGAAACTAACAATTTTAAATTGGCTCATTACTTGACTAGCCTATTGGTCCCAAGCAAATCGATTAACGTTCCCCATTCTAGTTAAAATGCTAGTACTACACAATGTTTGTTTTGAATCGCTATGAAATTTTGACAGATAAAATGAGGGGTTCGTGGATTTTCCTATGTTTCGAGGGGAGCATCGATTAGCTTGGGACCGAAGGTAGTACCAGAGCTGAGCCAAACAGTTGAGCACGTTTCTTCGGGACTCACTAGTCTTAGAGTTACCTCTATGGTCTTATCGGTGTCCTCAATGACCTTAATGTACAATTACTCAAAGCTAATGTGCTAAAATACGTTTTACCTCAACTCAACAATTGGTGACTAACATGCACAGATATATCATAGAGGTAACTCTAAGACCAGAAGGTCCCGGAGAAATGTGCTCAACTTTTTTGCTCAGCTCTGGTTCTCTCTTCGGTCCCAAGCTAGTAGATGCACCCCTCGAAACTTAGGAAAATCCACGAACCCCTCATTTTATCTGTCAAACTTTCGTATCGAATCAAAACAAACATAGTGAAGTACTAGAATTTCAACTAGAATGGCGTACGCTTATATATTTACTTGGGACCAATAGGCTAGTCAAGTAGTGGGCTACGGGATGGGACAACTTAATTTTGGTATTTTTCGCGACATTTTGTGAGCAAAGTGATGGTAATCGACAATCGATTCTAGTGTAGGTATGCTCATTTTCACTTAAAAATCTAATAGGACTGTTATGCCAATTAGGGCAGTGAATGATGTGTCTAACTGCCTGTGTGTATTTTTTGTACTTTTCTACCTATTATCTAACACTTAATGCTACCAAAAACGGAGGTACAGATTTCACTAGTTCTATATCATAAGCAATTGAAAGATAAGATAGTATCAAGTAATGCAGAAGCAATGTTACTGCCGTAACACAGTCGTGCTTAGTTCAATATACAAATTTCCTCGATTAACACATCAATACATCGATACGGTTCACATAAGTAATTGCTGCCCACAAGTTCCTGGGGAATTAAGTCTTCCAGACAACTACGGAATATCACAAGTATGTAAACTCACTTTCACAAGGTGCGTCATTTTCACGAGCTGCTTTCGAACGACACTAGATTTTTGCTCAGCCGCTACTGGCAACGCGTATCCATTTGGTGGCAAATTAAATCCGTACACTAAGTCCAGATCACCGGGTGAACCTACCTTTATAGGTTTTCCTCGGAGGTCCACTTATCATCATCGCCATCATTCAGGAAAAGCTAGCTTTCCCCCTACTTGCATCGCCATCGGCGTCGGTGTACGATTAGTGAGAGATCGCTACTGGAGGAACAGCTTTGCCGTACCGCGTGTACATTGGCCGGAGATCCACCGATCATTTCTTGTGAGTCTATATCTTTTCTGGTTTCCCATATCGAGCGGTGGTATGAAGTTATACTGAGGGGAAATTATTCAATATTATAACTACTGGAAAACTCGTTCCTTTTAGTTACTGTTTTACGAAGCTTGTTTGTTAAATGGGGATGATTAGTGCAAATATTTGAACTGCCCTTGCCAGCTCAGCTGGGCCTTTTCCTGTAGGTGCATTTTCATAAATTCGTTTTTTCTCTCTTCTAGGGTTGCAACGTTCGAGGACTGCAAGTTTTCGAGATCACCGTTCTGCCGAGTCGGGAAACGTTCCGAAACATTCCGGATTTGGGGGGAAAGGTCTCCTTCCTTCTTTGAAATAAACAGAAAATCAGAAAACTAGATTCGGAAGCATGAGTGTCATAATACGGTTGCAAAATTTGCCCTGGTCGGCAAATGCCCTGGATGTTCGTAACTTTTTTAAAGGTCTCTCCATCCCGGACGGCGGAGTTCACATCGTTGGCGGAGAAATGGGCGATGCGTTTATTGCATTCAGGTTTGTATATCGTTAGTTTACTCCAGTCGTAATCTTGTCTCTCCTTGTCGCAACGAGAAGTGTGTTTTAGCTATCAATAAGTACAAGAAACATTGCAGCAGCAGTTCGGCTCTCGTACGGTATTGGGTCACGCAAGGGGTTACGGCTTCTTATGTCCACGCAGGCGGCAGTAGGTTGTTAGTTGCGCAATGCATCCGATCAGTAAACAACTTTCTTTCGGGAAACTGCATATTTTTATTCTCACCGTCAATCTTGAATTGTGTAACTGGGTGAATGTGATGGAAATTTCGCATTTTATGTGACTACCGGACAGCTCGACCTGTCGGTTGAACGGTGATGAATATTTCTACGACAATGTATGTCGCAATCTTTCCGGTTACTCAACGCCATCTGTTACCGATGATGAACATGATTATCCAGTCAAAGCGGCTAGTTTGAGTACACCACTATAATAGCCGCCGATCAAGGAAGACATCTCTAGAAAACAAATGTCTGCTGAACGCATCTTGACCATCGTCATCATTGCTTGCATTTCCACGATCACTGGATTGCACTCTCTGATATGGATGCTGCGTGTTGTTTATGGTGTAAGATTGATAACGATGTCCGATACCGGTTTCAGGGTGCGCATTGCTAGTTTTTCTGCGCTTTAAGGCTATGGATGACTTAATAGCAAGTTTTAAGTCGCACCTTTTTTTTCCGCGCTTGTTCGTGTTGGGTTTCACTTTCATTCACGATCAAGTTCAATTAGCTCTTTTATGCCAGTGGGCCCGTGTGTAGGGCATTGATCGCGCGGGTGCACGGATCAGATGGTAACGAGATAAAAAATAGACTATAGAGCTTCTGATAATGATATGAGAACTACCCATTTTGCGACGGTTTGTAATAAAGAATTAGAAGTAATAAGCAGTTGCTTTTCGTTGACTGTTGTTCCGTGTTAGAGAAAGGATGCCAATAAAGATTTTGCTATCGATGATTGATGGGAGCGTTACAAGCTTCCATACTAGGAAGAGAGATTTCCTCGGGAGCTGGTTTTTGTTTTGCTGTAACAGGTAAGTAAGCGCTGCGAATTGATTCATGATGGAATTAAGGATGTATGTACTCTTCAGTGGTTTTTGCACGAACTGCGACTGTTGATTGCCAACGACAAGAACACACGCCATTTTCCAATTTTGGCACCACGGCTTCATTCGTTGTTTATTTATTACTTTTCAAAGTTATGTAACTAGTGTTCATCAGATATTATTTCGTACAAGGTTTAAGTGAAAATGAAGAATGATCAATTGAAATCACAGCGTAGACGCCTCAAGGTGAAGGTGGGATTCAAATGTCTAAGGTCCATACAAATTTTCAAAACAATATAAACGATTGTTCACGCAGGGGGAAGGGGTTTCAGACCTCTCAAACACTGTTGTATATGTAGTTTATGAATTGCCCCGGTCGTGAGATTCGTGTCGGATACATTTTAAAGAATGCAGAGATACCAAAAATCAGGTTTTTGGTTCACTGAAAACGAATCTTACTCACAGAGTGAGTCACTTTTACTCATTCGTATGGAGAAATTTCTAAAAGCGTAGGTTACTCATGCTCTTAGTGACCTACGCTTACGCCATACGAATGAGTAAACGTTACTCATAACTGAGTAAAAGAAACTCACTCCCTGAGTTAGTTTCGTTTTCAGTATTGGATTTTTCCCTAATTCAAGACCAACAATTGAAATGACCTTAACTCCATTTTGTAAACAAACCTTGTAAGACCATTTTCTTGCGAACCGAAGTCCGCAAAGGCAAACCAACATAATGATCAGGTAGGAAAAATTCTCCTCTATCCGATTGTGGTTTAGGTTTGCGAATGAACAGAGTTGGTAAATATCATGCGACGATGAGAAAACAGGCCCTCTCACTATCACGAGACGAAACTACCTATCATTAGCTTTCTTTTCATTTTTCAATGATCAAGCACTCATGAGAATAATTATTATTCGGTTTTGACATCAACATTTCTAACTGATTTAGGTGAATTTGAGCAAACAACCGTATGTAATCGGTAGAGTGAATGTATTATTAAGATTTCCTCGGTACAAGTAAGTTTAATAGCATTAAATGAACTATCAATTACGATGATTACAATACTGTCACGTTCTGTCATGAAAAAAAATTCGATGGGATTTTGAAGAAAATCTCTATAATCGTTTTCTCATCCAATGATAGTGACAGAAGTATCTCTGTAAATATCGCGTGAGATCTTTCATTGAAAATGGCATTTGCCAGCCCTGGTCTTGAATTGATGCAGATACATTTGTTAACGTATAGAAATGTTGTAGAACTATGCTACCCATAAAGCACAACAGTCACATCTTTGCTTGATTTCCTATAGGGCTGTACACATTCCACGTGGACAGTTTTTGAGAGATTGTATACACCCCCCGCCCCCGCGTGGGCAATCATTCATACAAATTTATAAAAAAAAACATATGGACTGTAGACGTTCGTCAACCCTCCTTCCCCCTGAACTTTTCCACGTGGTATATGACAGTCCCTATTCTAATGGGACAGTAACGCGCTTATGGGTAGTATGTCCCTGCGAATTATTGGAAAAGCATTTACAAAATTATTTATGAATTTGCATCTCTATTGAAAACTACTTAAACTTTAATAACCTTATCTTGAACAAAACTCTATCCCTCCCAAAATCTGACGGCTAGTAAAACAGTGCAGTCACCTTTTGGTTCATGGGAACATTCCACCTTGGAGCAGATTTTTTTGCACAACAACAACAAAAATAAAATGCGTAAATACTTAATAGTAGTGAAATAAATTGAATGAAAATCAGCTTCTGGTGAATTAGTATTGTATATGCTAGGTGTAGTTTTTTTTTTTAAATTTTCGTATTTATTAATCTAAATCATTTGTCAGCATTACAGACATCTGACGGTTGTAGGACAAATGGTCGAAAGGACAAAATGTCGAAGGTACAAAAGGTCGAATAGACTACTAGAGTCGAATGGATAAAAAAGGGGCATAGGTCTTCTGGACAAAGTTATGTACTACTACCGAAGCTGTGGAGATTTGGAATCAAGCCGGACTTGCGCACCAGCTCAAGCGGAACGTTGTTAGGAGGGTTGCCAAGCTCGTTGTGACATGGCAACGCCAAAGTAAGGCCTTCAAATAGAAAAATCAGAGCTATTGCCAGCTTTGAAGATGTGTAGGATGCGGTTGAGTTACTTCTTCAACATAAGCGTGAACCACATCGATGAAGAGCTACGAAACGATACTGTCCGTGCAGAATTCTGGAGCCAGCAGGTGACAAACAAAGTTCCGGTTGAGTTTCCGAAAAGCTTCTCTAGCAGTGTACCATTGATATGCAAGCAGCTTCGGTAGCCACAACTTGAATGCTTTTTCCGATTGAAAGTTGTTGGGTTTCATGCTTGAATCGAAAGTACCTGATGACGGCCAACTCCGACGGCAAACGTTTTCTGGGGATAATGCTTCCTCGCATTACCGGTGATGAGATCCGACTTGAGCTTGGTTTTTGGTGACATGATTTTCTTTTTTGGTTCTGCTTGCTACGGCAATCATTTGTATTTATCGATTTCAATGATAGTTTGATTTGCTGGTGGACATACAACAAGTATTGAAATTCTGAACTTTTCTTTCCACAGTAAATCACAAATAACTTTTTAACAGTTAAAAATGAGGATAAAGTGTCTTGGGCAAATCTTTTGCTTATAAAATTTCCCATATTTCTGCTGCATTTGATTGATAATAACGCTATGTTTGATACCCGTTTTTGATGATAAATGGCAGTGATGTACAACAAAAAACATCATTTTAGATAGATTGGAGGCGAACCAGCCCCAGGCTGAAAGCCTCCCTAATAAAGATAAATTAATTAATTAATTAATCATTTTAGATAATTTGAAAAATTGTAACTAACAAATTGGACACAGAACATGCCGTAGCAATTTTTTCTCATATATGTAGTTTTGACCCTTGGAAATCTGCGAAAAATATAAAAGGGTGAGATTTCACTGAAATTTAAGGAACTAAACATATTTATTGGATAATAGCCTTTAAAAGCCTAGATAATGGACTTTTTTTTTTCAAAAATATCGTCATTTCACAGAGTTGCCGCCATACAAAAGTTTGTTTGTAACACCCTTAGCTATCATTTAGAGGGTGAGCCCCAGATTTCCAGACATAGTACAATTTTGTGACACCCTACTGGGTACTAAGATCCCAGTATTATTATTTTTCCTTCTTTTCTAGACTGCTCGTGCTTTCATCGATTTTGATTTTTATTATTTTAATATTCAACGTAACGGTGTCTCTCCACTATTTGCCATCTGGCCAAGAAGGCTTCCCTAATAAACGGTACCATAAACTAACGATATAATAGATGGTACGACCATACCACATAACATTGGGATGATATCCCGAATTGGTGGTTAGGCGCTTCTTATGGTTATTGTTTATGCGGGTTAACAACAAAATGTACCACCATTCGATTTTTTCTGCTTCTTTGAATCATTCAATGTTTTTTTTCATTTAACCTTTTGTCCCCCTTCTCATAATTCGGCATTGTATTCACTCGATCTCTTGTCCCCCTTTACATAATGCGACTTTTTTTCCCGCTTTGAATTATTTGACTTTTTGTCTATTTCACATTAGATCTTTTGTCATTCGACATTTTTTTTTTATCTCTCTGTGAATCATTCGACCTTTTGTCTCTCTGAATGGTTCAAATTATTCGAGTTTTAGCCTCCTCTCTCATTTTGTCCATTCAACCTTTTATCCATTCGACATTTTGTCCGGTCGACCTTTTGTCTATTAAACCTTTTGTCCATTTGATCTTTTGTCAATTCAACCTTTTGTCCATTTGACCTTTTGTCCATTTAACCTTTTGTCCCCCTTCTCATAAATCGACCCTTTGTCCATTCGACATTTTTTCCTCTTCTCATCATTGACCTTTTGCAACTTCGAGTTTTTGTCATTCGGTCT